GAATTTCTGCAAAAAGACTATAATTCACGTGATTTCTGCTGCATTCTGCATTTTGCAGAAAATCATCGTCCCTGATCTGAAGCCGGTTTTAGCTGTATAATAGAGCCAAAGCCGATGAGCTGCAATTGAATCGGCCTTTTAAAGTCATAAATATCAAATAAATTTTTTTTTTTTTATAAGGCTACAGTAACTACGTATTCTATATTTGCCATTTAATTTTTTCCATAAATTAATCCAATATCACCTGATAAGAGACATTGTTTTCCCGAAATTGTCCGATATGACCGATAGAACAAAATATGACTTCCCATTCGATTTTCTGACTCCACAAAAAATTAGCTTTGCATGAACATGAGTCTATTAATTTACTGTGGATTAGAAAAAAAAGACCGCCGACTGGAATTTTGGAATCTTGTAATGCAATATGAAAAAAATCAACCTTTTGGCCTTAAATATTATTACTTAGCTATAGTAATAATGAAATTATAAAGCATTGGAGTATTTAAAAAAGTCATACAAACGCTAACAGCAAAACCCTTCGTCATATAATAGTAGGTTTTCACATGAATTTTCAATTAAGTGTCTTCGGAACTTTTTCTATTTAATCAATTGAGCTTTATCAATCAATATATTAATTAATTTCTTAGTTAAATTTTTATTCATATTTATTTAAGGTTCTCTCAAACACATAAATTAATACGTTGGAGCTCAATTTTTAATTGGTTTAACAAATAAACAGGTTCATTATCACGATGAAAAAATGGACTCTTTTTGTCATAAACCTGTTCTGATTGGCTAAAAGTTATTATCCGCATTCACGTTACGAATCTTCAGTAAAGATCGCTTCAATTAATCGTAGCACTTATGCATTTGTTTAACAATTATTTATTGGTCTAGGTATTTAATATGAGCTGTTCACATCTCACTTAGCTTCTTATCCATATTAGTCTGTATTATTATCATCTGTTAAGAACAATTCAAATTGCAGCATGCAGATTAATATAACCAGATCCGTACGGTATGGGTGTGAACTACCCCTATTTTTACTATCTGTTCCGACCTTATGTATTATTTACATTAGAAAATTATAATGGAATGGTATGATAAGTTTTTTAAGGAGGTATTTTATACTCTATACTATATAATCTTAAAATATTATGAAATACCTTGTTTATTTAAATCATAGCGTCTTATATTTAGCTGTATATCCGATATTTATTTTGTATTGGATTATCAAACATTTTCTATATTCAGCTTACATTCATCTATTCCTGGTTTAGCGCGCAGCTACTTAATATTGTGAAGTGCTTATTTTATGAGTTTTACGGTAGAATATATCAAGCATATAGGACAAAACCAATAATATAAGATTTAATTATCATTTCAAACCTAAAATTGATATTAGCAAATTGAATTTTTACTTGAGGAAAATGAATCAAATATCATTATGTCATAAAAACGCTATTAGATAAAAGAGTCATTAGTTACTTTCATGAAGTAATTCATCGTGCCAGTTAAGATATAAATCATATTTCACTTTCTACATAAGTATTTCCACTAATTTAAATAACAATGACTGTTATTCTCTTATCTGTGTAAAAAGCTCGAGTTAAAAGTTCCAATTAAACGGTTAATTTTAATGAAAATTTGATTTGTCTTTAAATATTATCACGAGTAAAAGAGTGACATTTTCCGAAGCTATAGAGAATTGCGCCTCGAGAAGACTTGAATGGTTGTCGGCTTAAGATCATAGAAACGCAAGGTGAGTCATATCACATCAGAGGCTTAATCTAACCGAGGATACGTAGAAACCTCATTCTATTAGTCTTCTAAAGGTTATTTAAAGGACGTAACTTGGGTAAGGTTGGTTACGACACATATGTGCGAGGTAGGGCACACAAAACACTAATTTACAATAATTCCTTTTAATTATACAGTATGACGAATCACCATAGTAAAGCCTTTTCGAGTTGCCTTATTGCATAAATTCTCTATTTTTATTATATAAATTTTATATTGTACAATTTTATCCGTAACAATACTTTGTGCATCTCAATGATAACCTCGTGTCCATGTTTAAGTGTTCGCACTAAATGCGGCAATTAATAAAAATTATATTTAACCATATTTGGAAATTAATACACTGTAACTTTCCCAAAAAATCCAATAATAAATAGTTATTAGATGTGTAGCATCCAATAAAAGTTTATTTGGCAGAAGAAATGAGAATACCGTAATCCGAAGGATCACAGGGTGAACATTTTGGCTGACAAATAAAAGAAGTATCTGGCTTTGAGTTTAAAATGTGCTAACCTGGGCCCCCGAAGGGACTCAGGTTGTCAAGCACATTAAATTCAAGCCCGATACTTCTTTTATTGAATGCGGGACATCCAATAACGGATTTATTTTGCATTTTCTTATATAACAAATAAATCTCATGAGCTTAATTGAATCTATTTGGCGTATAACATCTATTATACAACCTACATTTACTATTAAAAAGAAAATAATAATCAATGCTACGCGTTTGCTATTTTATCACATCCCCTTGTTAAGAACTTTTCAAATATTTTAATTCAAAGTTGGAAATATTTGGGTTGGTTTGGTGTCTCAATATTGAATTGAGAGGTTGATTTGTTGTGTACGTTTGATAATTATTTATTTAGTAAACAATATGCTTGTGTTATATTAAGTACGTACGTATTTATGTAAATTCTTTTTAGAAATTACCATTTTACAAGTACCACTGCGTACAATCATGTGTATGTGATTCCACGGGAAAAACTTTTCTTTAATCAAATTTAGCAAAAAGTGTAAATCATAATTCCAAACAAGTATCAACTTATTCAAAACCTTATTGAGGGTGACAAACATAGTATTGATACATTATGTACTATACGTACAGTACAGGTTATAATTATTTTTTTAGTACAGTATAAAGAAAAAAACGTGCCTGTCAAAAATCATTTATGTATATATTACTGTATTAGTACAAATGAACATATAAATGTTTAGCAAATATTAAACCAAAAAAGGTTCTCCATACCATATGAATGTTTTCTCTTATTAAGAATTTTATTTGTAAATAAGTGAAATTTGATCATCTAGTATACCTTCAAATAAGCATATTTAAGAAATAAAATTAGTCGTAAGAAAAAAATCATTTTTAATAATTGATAATAATTTAATTTTAAAATAAAAAAATTATGGAAGACACAAAATTTATCCTTTCGATTGATGGTGGAGGTTTTCGAGGTTTAATTCCTTCCATTATTCTCTCTGAAATCGAAAAAAGAGTGACTAATGAAATAAAAAAAGATCATCCTAATGCTGATATAAGATGTGCTGATTTATTTGATATCATATCTGGAACTTCGACCGGCTCTATTATTGCTTTGGGTTTATCAATTCCTGATGCTGCTGAAAATGATCGGCCTAAACTTGATGCTCAATACATCGTGGATTTTTATAAAGATCATGGTTATGATGTCTTTCCTGATTATTCACCTATTATGTTTGTTGATAAATTATTGTCGAAAACTGATAAATTATTAACTGCTTATGCTGAAAAAGAAACTGTTGAGATTAAGGAGAGTATTGAAAATCTTACTGAGAAAGAATTCAAGAAAGGAGGTTTGTTTAAAAGATTTTTTAGCATTTCTAGAAAAAAAACGAGTGTAACCGAGAGTAAAGTCGATGGTATAACTGTGAATAAAGTCGATATTGTTACCATGAATAAAGTCGATGTTGCAACCATGAATGAAGTAGATGTTACAACTATGAATAAAGTTGATGTTACAACCATGAATAAAGTCGATGTTACAACTATGAATAAAGTTAATATCACACCTAATATTAAAGATTCAACTATGAGTGAAGCTGATAAAGAAAAAGAAAAGGAATATTTTACCGAAGCAATAATGTATTTAAAAGGGTTTGAAAATGCTTATAATCCTTGGAAGCCGAAATATTTACCCAACAAATTTGAAAAATTGTTGCAAGAAACTTTCGAACAAACTAAACTCAAAGATACTGTAAATAACGTGACTGTAATAGTTCCATCTTATAATATTACCAATGGTGAATATACTTTTTTTACAAGTAATAATCCTGAACATGAAAATCTTTTCATGAAAGATGTTATACGTGCAAGTGCTGCCGCTCCTAGCTATTTTCCTGCAGGAAAAATTGGATCAAATTATTTCGTAGATGGTGGTGTTTTTTCGAATAATCCAACTGTTATGGCTTATCTTGAAGCAAAGAGAATGTTTCCAAACTCAAAATTTGTTGTTGTTTCTCTCGGTACTGGTTACTACAAAGAACCTCTAGAAGCTTATAAAGATTCTGGTGTTATTCAATGGATAAGACCATTGATTGATCTTTTGTTTAATTCAGAACTCGACAATAATGACAATACTATGAAACTTTTGGCTAAAATTGACAGCACGACTTACCATCGGATTCAATTGAAGTTGTCAAAGGACAACAGTTCTTTGGATAATGTTTCAGAAAAAGAAGTTTCTAAACTTACTAAATTAGCTAACGATATTATCAATGATCTTAACGATACTTATAAATTTAAAGATATAATTAATTTACTTGTTGATAAATATAGGAAAAAGAATATCAAAACCGCAAAATAATATAAATTTAATTGTATTATTTATTTTATACAATTATTATACCATTTATAATTTACATTATGGCTATTTTATTAGCATTACTTTGCATATTTTTTACAAATATTAATATCTATGTCCTTTATATCAATTTTAAATATTTATTTTGTATTCGTGCGCATGGGTCTAATAAGTATCACGTTTTTTCTATTTATCAAATTTAATGTAATTACAACGTCATGATATGTAGTAAATAAGTAAATAACCATGTATTTGTACAATAAATCTCTTATGGCAAATCTACTGTACTTTAAACGCATTCTTTTAACACATATCGAGTCAACCCTCGTTAATATCAACCTCTTGTTGAACAATGTATTTGGATTATATAAATAGTTATCTTAATTATCAACCTCATTGATATCGACGTAATCATCTGATGTATTTGAAAATAAAGTGCATTTATGAAAATACATATTTAAACCTGAATTTGAGTGTACATTTACATTTAAAGGGAGAATTCATTAGGTTTATATAATTTTTGGATAGATTAAGACTAGAGTTTGGAACCAATTTTATTTTTCATATGTTAAACCCGGTTTTAATCGGTTTTAATATATGAAAAATAAAACCGGTTCCAAACTCTAATTAAGTCTAATATAAGTGCTCTCTATTTGTCAAAATTAGTGGTTTGAACCGGAGTAACAAATAACTAATTGGTTAACAGAGCAATCACAACTGATTCTAATCGTTGACATGATCGACCTAAGTTATCCGGCTTAACTTGGTCAACTGGATCAAAAATATTAACCTGGTCAACCAAGTTAAACTAACCAATGGGTCAACTGAATTAAATGAATAAATCAACTGAATTAAATAAATCAACTGAGACAACAAGATAACCGGCTATAAGGTCTGACTTTATACAGTGTAACAAATTAATTTTTCTCAACTCGTCTGTTATATTATACTCAAAGATTTTATCAAAACAAAAATAAATTTCTATTGCCATTTTTTTATAACCAATTGCACAAAAATACAGATATTAAACAGATAATTCATAATTTAATAAACTTGAAAGCTTGAAGTCTTGCTTTCCCTTGACATGTATCATATCGAACTTGATTTCTAATACGTGATGAGTTGATCTGTACTGGGTTAACCGATTAAGAACTTTACTCAACCGGTTAACTGAGATTTTTCAGGTCGGTTCGGTTACCCGATTATAGTCTAATAATAGTAATCAGTATTACAATAGTGTATCAAATGAGGGTCACCTATATTAGACTGAATTCTATAAATTTTTTTTTTTCTTTTAAAAAAAAAAATTGATTTAGAATAATTTCTTGATTTTATAACATAAAATTTTAAAATAGATTCAACCATATGTATTAAAATTTTATATAATGGAAGAGATTAATAGAAAACAAGAAAATTGTTTTTAGTATTAAACTTTATCACCCAAACTTAATAAATTTTATCATCAACGATTAAGTCCGCTAAAATATTACATTCTTGGTCAACTTACTCAAATTAATTTATTTACTATGATGTATCTAAATTATAATCGCAAAGATATTATAAAGTAGATGTCATCTAAACTAATGGTGAGAAATCGAATAGTCAAATCGCGAATTTTAGCTAAATCCGAATGTACGGCAAACGAGAAAGAAAAAAAAACAAGAAACGTGGGTTTAAACCTGCATTAATGCGCTAGTAAAAATGTCAAAAAGTAGTTTTCCTATGCTTTCGTACTTTAATTATCTAATACTAACTCATATTAATTATAATGATATGTTGAAAATTTATGCTTTCTCCCAAAATAAACTTAATGGATGCGGTTAATTTCTTCACCATTTCATATTACAATATAAATTTTGAACTCATGTCAATATGATGTGATCTGTAATTATGAATAAGTTAATTATATATATATATCAACGAAAAAAAAAGAAAACCTTTATAAACTAATTTGACATACGTGCTGAGTTGAGGTTTTTGAGTATATTTAGATGCAAGAATATCCCTAATATTGTTTAAAAGCTGCTGGTAGGTAAGGTCTCTAGATTCTCTCATTCTAATTGATGAATAAATTATATAAGCTTTCATGTATAAAAATACCATAATTCTGATGAACAACATTTAATATATTTACGTTTTTATAAAAGCATAAGACATAGCTCCTGTATTACGCCCATCTTCAAAAGCATCCGCTGATGTCTGATCATCTTTGCACCTAATTTTTTTAAATTGATTTAATACAATATTCTGGGGATTTATTTTAATAAACTAAAAGGTTCATTTACTTACCCGCTTAACGAGATCACATCTGCTTTACTCGACTTGTTCATGAAATTTTTCCCAGTTCTCATAATTGATGGCGCATTTTTCTTAGCAAATGACATTAACTGTTTCGTATTACCTGTCAAAAGTGACATTCCTGCTTTCATAAGTTGACCTTTATCTTCAGTAAGTGACTTAGGTCCTTTAATCATTCCGCGAGTAGAATATGTATATGGTAAATCGAGTGCGGATCCAGAATGACATGAATCAAAAATTGCAAAGAATTTTACACCTACGATAAATATATATTTGTTAATTAAAGATATAATATTATTAAAATATATGAGCATAACTACAGTATATTTACCAGCTTGAAGTGGCTTTACCATGGTTTCATGCATTATCTACAAATAATTGAATGTCATTAATAAATAAATGGTAAAAACTCAAGCCAATATAAACCTTACATCATCAATTATTTGCCCATTTTGTGAATAATCGACTGGTACAATAGTTTCATCATATCCATCATCTTCATCACCATCAAGGTCTTTTTCTTGACCTCCGTGTCCACTATAATGGAAAAATAATCTACAGTAATAACAATCATAATAGTCAATTTAAAATTCATAAAAAATTTGAAACAATTGATGAAATAAACAATCTTACAAATCTCCTGGCTGAGCATCTTGTGCAAGCCACTTCATTGCTTCCAGGATATTAGCTTTAATTGGAATCCTTGTCGGATCCTTCTGATCATCAGTTAAAATAACCATATTAGATTCTTGGAACCCATATACTTCAATTAAAAATTTTTTCACATTAGCGACATCATTTAAGCAACCTATTTAAAAGATTATTTTAGAAATGTTTACTTTTTACTATATTTCAAAAAATTTTGCATTTTTTTTAAAAAAAATTTCAATTACCCCTTAATTCGGCCTGTTGATTAAAGTAATTTATTCCAATAAGTAATGCTTTTTTACGTCCTCCACTCCTATAACCCATGTAGCCATTTTGATGTTGCTGGTTTTGTAGAGATGGAGGTCCCGGTTGTGGTGCATAGCCACCAGACGGAGGTCCTGGTGGTGGTGGTGTATAACCGCTAGACGGAGGTCCTGGTGGTGGTGGTGTATAACCGCTAGACGGAGGTCCTGGTGGTGGTGTATAACCACCAGATGGGGGCCTCGGTTGTGGTGTAGAACCACCAGACGGAGGTCCTGGTGGTAGTGCATAACCACTAGACGGAGGTCCTGGTGGTGGTGTGTAGCCACTTGGTGGTGGTGCATATCCACCAGATGGTGGCCCAGAAGGTGGTCCTGGAGGTGCATAGTCACCAGACGGTGGTCTCGGTTGTAAGGTGTAGCTATGTGGAATGTAGCTACCAGGTGGTGGTCCTGGAGGTGGTGCATATCCACCTGAAGGCGGTGGTCCTGGAGGAGGTGTTGGATAGCTTCCTTGAGGTGAATAATTTTGTTGATCTGACGATGGTAAAACAAATCCTCCTGGAAATTGGTTATTTTGCGATCCCTGTTGTTGATTTTGTTGTGAGTATTGTTGTCCTGGATACATTTTGCGAAAAGTATATTATATATAATTTGTTGTTTTTAGTCCAAGAAATTTGAAAAGTGAAAGAAAATTCGGTAGGAAAGACTGTTTATAACTTGATTTCCACAATTAGTATTTGTTTAGATAATCTTTATATTTGAGTTAAATATATGTGCCGTGTAACCTCATCATACAGTTTACTAAACTTTTATACCGATTTGATATATACGATTTATCAGATCTCAAAATCATTGATCAGCATGTATTTAGTAGCAAATAGTTTAATCTTCGTTTTGCATGTATTTCAATAACATAGGATCTTTATTTCAAAACTTGGATAGGCTAGTGTTAATGTATCATATGACATGTCAACGCTACTACTACATACGTACGTACGTACGCCCACATTAGATTATGTGATACGCTATATAATAATGAATTGTTTGTGTTAGTCTGTATTATTAAAGTTTTCTTTTATTTATATTGCATTGCAGTGTTGGGTCAGGCAAATTAATAATTAATGTATCATATGACATGTCAACGCTACTACTACATACGTACGTACGTACGCCCACATTAGATTATGTGATACGC